GCACAGCGCCCAGCCTATTCTACCACACTATCCTACTCTACAGCTGGTTCACACAACAGGATCACTTCGGCTCACGAAGACCAATATACATGACTATCAACACCATCGGCGACCTCTCTCCATGTACCAGGTACGTATCTCGTCACCCTCAATCAGACCTTGATTATCCCACACAGCGCCTCACTCCCTGTAGACCACCCGATCATCCGCTATGGCCGCCTGCGCCCCGCTGCCCTGCAGCGCCCCGCTGCCCTGCAGCGCCCCTCTCACCACCTAGCGCTCCGTCAGCGCCCCTGGCATTAGCGCAGCAGCACTTTCGCATTGCCAGCGCTGGCCAGTGTGTCTGGCCTGGGCTGCCTCACTTCCTTTATGGAAGTGTCAGCCTCTTGGATGCTGCGTGTGGCCTGGCTGGAAGCTTCCAGAAGCTTCCGGTTGGGGCCCAGACCCTGTGCCCAGGCCTGAGACTTACAGTTGAGGTGATCTCGAATACAAGACTCGAACACACAACCAACGGCTTGGCAGGCTAACACCTAACCATAAGGCTAAGTGGGCTGGGGTGAAAGTGAAGCCCCAAGATNTCGAATACAAGACTCGAACACACAACCAACGGCTTGGCAGGCTAACACCTAACCATAAGGCTAAGTGGGCTGGGGTGAAAGTGAAGCCCCAAGATGAGCACTTACAGTTGAGGGCCTGGGCCCCTTTCAGTTGGGCACGGCCGGGCTGTTGGCTGTATCTGCGCAGGGGCCCCGGATAGATGCGTCGGCAGTACTGTTTTTCCCAAAGGCCGACGGCCTGCTTCTCAATGTATCGGCCCTGCTTTGTGTGTATATGCCCAGGCACAACTTTCGTGGCCTGGGCCAACTGTACGACGCAGCTTAGCAAGGCTCGCGCGTTCACTCAACCAATTGACGCGCTGCGAGAGCCTGAATACCTACATATGGAAATGTCGAATTTGGCCTGTGACGAATATTCAGGCCCGCCTTCACTTAGGGCGGCCACTTGGCTTGCTGGGGCCTTATCCCAGAACAATGTGATGTCTGATAGGGCCACTTGAGGGCTCGTTCCTCACATTCCATCCCCCTTAGCTTCGAAAGTCCGCTGAGATGCTTCATGCTGGTGCCTTCCCCTTCAATTTCTTCTCATAATCTGCCACGATCCGAGGAGCTGTCTTGACAAGTTCCTCCCTTGAAATCCATCGATATTCCTTCGGATCTGTATGATGCCTGAAATGTACTCTGTATTCCCTTGCAGGTTTGGGAGGTCTTCCCCTGCCAGGTGGCTTGGGAACAGGCGTGTCTCTGTGATCCAGAATGTCGTCGACGTCCACGTGGCCATCCATGGTTGGGGGCAGCATAGATCTCCGTGATGGGAACTGTGCTGTCTCAGCGAAAGGTGCAAGCTTGGAAGCGTGGAAAACAGGGTAAGTGCGTAAGTGACCAGGGATACGAATGACGTACGAGGGACTATCCAAATCATTCCCCACAATGTCTAGGACTTCCCAGGGACTGAAATACTGAGGCATTAGTTTCCTAGAGATGCCAAACTCCTGTCCCAACTCACTAGCCTTGACCCAAACACGTTCCCCTACCTGAAATGTGGACTGTCGGCGACGCTTGTTCTCAGAAGCAATCATGGCTTCTTGAGATTTCTTGATGTGTTCGACAGTCTGCTGCAACAGTTTCTCATACTGGACACCAAATTCAATGGTTCCAGGAGTCGCAGCAGTTCGGTTTTCAGGCAGGAGGAAGTCTAGAGCAGATCTAGGCTTCCACCCGAGATGTAGTTGATTAGGACTGACGCCGATGGTGTTGTGTACAGCGTTGTTGTACAGGCTGGCGATGAGAGGTAATTTCTCATCCCAGTCATCCTGGCTGGGCTTGATGTAATGCCTCAGCAGATGCTGCACCACTCGGTTCATCTGTTCAGCCTGCCCATTTGCTTCAAGATGATTCCCAGAAGTCATTTGAAGCTGGCTGCCCGATCTGTTCAGCGGCCTTCTTCCACATCTCGCTTGTGAATCTCACATCTCTGTCACTAACGATTGTCTTTGGAAGTCCAAAGTCACGCACCCAGCTGTCCATGAACAACTTGATGACGTGCTCAGTACTGGCAGTCTCTGGCATGGTGATTAGTCTAGCGTACTTAGTGAACCTGTCCACTATGACGAAAATGTGCCTTTTGCCATTCTTGCTGGTCACAAGAGTATCCATGAAGTCCATGGAGATACTCTGACCTGGGCCAGCCGGAATGGGTAAAGGCTTGAGTAACCCAAGCGGAGCTCGAGTTCGCGGTTTGTCCCGCTGACAGACCTGACAGGTCTCCACGTACTTCTTCACATCGTCAAGCATGTTAGGCCACCAGAATCGTTGTACTAGGTTAGCACTAGTCTTCTTATAACCGAAATGTCCTGTTGCGTCGTGGCACTCACCTAAAAACAAACTACGCAAAGTTTCCCTAGATGGAACAACTAACCTCTTGAACCCTGCCTTCTCAAGAAAGAGCAACCCATCCACCATCACAAACTCATCAGTGGTGGCCTTGTCTTTAGACTGTAGTTTGTTGATGATGTCCATCGTGATGGGATCTTCCTTGTAGGCTTCATCCAACGATCGAGTCACGTCCTCAGACAAATCAAACTCAGAAATCAGCGCACCTAGGTAATCTGCCCTCCTAGACAACGCATCTGCAACCTTGTTGTACTCTCCCTTCAAATAGTATAGTTTGAAATCATATTGATCTATGACATCAATCCAGCGTTTGAGTGCATCGGAGAGAACTGGTTGAGTCTTGATCCACTTGAGTGTCTGATGGTCAGTTCTCAAGTAGAAGAACCTTCCTAACAGGTAGTGCCTCCAGTGGACAAGTGCCTTGTAAAGAGCGTAGAGTTCCCTCTCGTAGGTGGACTTTGTGCCAACTTCTTTGAAGGCATCTTTTTGCTCATGTACTCGATCGGTCTCAACTTCTTCCCTTCCTGCTGAGCCAGCACTGCGCCAATCCCATATTGGCTTGCGTCAGTGGTCACAACGAATGGCCTTTGCGGGTCGGGTACCATGAGAACCTCATGGTGTGTGAGAGCATGCTTCAAACGTTTGAATGCTGCCTCACACTCGTCGGTCCAGTCCCATGGTGTGTCAAGTCAAGTTAGATCAGTCAAGGGAGATGTGATCGTGCTATAATTCTTTACGAAATTGCGATAATAACCACACATTCCCAAGAATGATCTGACCTCAGTCACAGACTGGGGTCGTGGCCAGTCACGTATGCTAGCCACCTTAGCATCTTCGGGTCTAATCCCATCCGCGAATACTTCATGACCCAAGTACAAGATTCGAGTGCGACCAAACTCGCATTTCTCTGAGTTTATCTTATACTTGTGTTGTCGAAGGAGTGAAAGTACTGTGTCTACATGCTGAGCATGCTCCTCGACAGATCTACTGAAGATAAGTATGTCGTCGAGGTACACGACAACAAACTTATCCAAGTAGTCATGGAAGATCCTATTCATGGCGTGCTGGAATGTACCTGGCGCATTGCAAAGGCCAAAGGGCATCACCACAAACTCGTACAGACCGTACCTGGTCTGAAATGCGGTTTTGTGCTGGTCCTCTGGTCTAATGGCAATCTGATGGTAGCCGGATTTTAAGTCTA